TATAATTATTACTAAAATGAAATTTTAAAAAATAAAAAAATAATCATTTTTCTCTTACATATATTGCTTCAAACCATCGAGTAAAATTCACATGCATTGAATAATATATCATCGTTGATTGCATTACAGATATATTGTACATATCTCCGAACTTATTAAAAATCCAGAGTTTGTCACGTGCACCATACGATCCATTTCCGTCATGATCTTAACGACCATCACGTGACTATAACATAATCACGTGTTAGAATTTTGACCAATGAAATCGTGGTTTAAATATGGTGATGATCAGCACAAATTTCAGCGGTGGCGCAGTATTTGATGTGATTAAGCTGTTTGCACCATATTTATAATATTTATTATATAATTAAATTAAGAATAGAAATTTTTTAAATTTTAAAATAATGATAAATTAAAAATAGAATTTAAATTATTATTAGAACAAGAATTTAAATAAATCAAAAATAAGCATCTGAATAAATTAAGAATAAAAAATTATAAATTATAAAATATAATAAAATATATTAATTAATAAATTAAAATTAAAAAAATATACTAATTTTAATAAAAAAATAAATTATAAAATATTTTAATAATATATTATTTCAAAATTTATTAATAAAATATAGTTTTTTATTAAAAGTTTTTAATTTTACTAATTAAGATTTTTTATTTTTTATACAAAAATATAAATAATAATTCATATTTTAATATATATTTTTTTAGATTTTTTATATTTAATTTGAGAAAATACTTTTAATTGCAAAACAAGTTAATTAATTTTTATATATTTAATTATACAATTAAAAAAACTTTCTTATATTAAATATAAAAAATCTGAAAAAAATATATACATATTAAAATATAAATTATTATTTGTATTTTTGTATAAAAATAAAACTTAATAAAATTTGAAAACTTTAAACTTTTATTTTATTAATAAATAAAGTATTAGTTTTGTAAGTTACTATAAAATAAATATTAAAATATGCACTATTTTTTTTTAGAAAAATATCCAATAGAATTTTTCAAAATATTGCAGCATATTTATTTTATTGCACTTTTTGACTCGGTATCATGAATTATTTGTACAATTTCATTGCATATAACATAACTAAATTTAGATGTACAGCTTAAGATATATTCAGATTAATCAAAAATTAAACTGAATAATTTTGGTACAAAGTTATTAGATACAAACGAGAATTATAATGAATTGCGATTATATAATTTATTGCACACAAGCGAACCAATTGAAAATGATTTTTATGCCAGCAAGAATAATATTTACAATATATGACTTTTATAGTTGGTGGTAGTAGTGACAGCGTAATGGTGTGTTGGTGTGATGTGATGGTAATGATAATAATGGTAGTAGTGGAAATAGTCTTTATAATTCAGCAGAATTGTTCTTTAATTCATCGTCCCCACTGTCCTCGTCAGCAAACTCTGCCGCGAGAAAGTCTTCGATTTCTGACTCGTCACCATCTTGAACACCATTATCACCATCATTCGGATAATCATCAGCATTTTCATCGTTATCAACATCATATTCATCGCCTTCTCCGTAATCTTGATCTCTTTCATCGTCACTTTCACCCCCGCCGTCTGTATATCCTTCTCCTCCTTGATAATATAATCCGCTATCATAGTAATCTTGACCATCTATTGTTGTTGTTAATGATGTTCCTTGTGATTGTTGTTGAGTCAATGTTTCATTGTCGTCATTATCATTATACTCATCGTCCTCGTCATCGTCATAAAGATTATTATAGGGTGTTGATTTTCGTATAGATGATATTTTGTATTTTTTACTGTTTCCTTGGGTTTGTGATTCTATTAATTCGTTACCTGAACGTTTTAGTTTTCGTGGGTTTGAGCTAAATAAAGTTATCATTTGTTTTATGTATTAATGACAAGAAAATGCAACAAAGTTTTGAAGATATGTACAATATATACCTTTCATTACCACTTTCTAAATCGCTATCCGCGCTCGTGTCACCCGATTCGAGTATTTCATCATCGACTTCTTTTTCAAAACTATCCCAATCAATTTCCAAAAAATGCTGCTGCACTTCTTCGGCACTAATTTTTGGCTCATAGTCTTCTTTTGGCGAAGAGTTGGCACTTGATTGTTCTAGAAGATATGGTTCCTCGGGTTGTCGCTCCCAATTTTTTATAGATTCGATGAGCCTACACAAATAGGGTGTCAATGTTATAAAAGTATTTATTGGATAGTTATTAATTCACATGAATTTCTATTTTACGTACCATTCTGTGCGGACTATTTGAATGTTCCCTCGACTCAGCGCTTCTTTGATTTTATCAGTTCCTCTCTGTAGAGTCCACAAAAATCATATCATTAAATAAAAACTTTAAAATATCCAAGCTAGAGAAAAGAAACTCGGGATACCTCGCCAGCCACAAGGTGAGTAATTTCGTCTGATATTGTTTCAAAGCATTGAGCCCCAAAACTTAATGCTAAATTCCAAATATCGGAGCTGAGATTTCATGAACAATTGTATCTCAGCATTGATAGACATTACATATGCAAGACTATATTTAAAGTTTTTACTAACCTTTCCTTGGGTTGTTTAGTTGGTATTACATGTGTGAACACAAGTTTTACTCCCTGTAATACAAATGATTTCATTGCAGGTATTATTTTCTATAAAATAAAAAATAAAATAATAAGGATGATGTTTGTTTGATAAGGCTTATAAGCAGTTCGAAAAAAAAAAACAATGACTAAACACCGTGGCATCAGCAGGCCGATTGCTTTCAAGATCGTCATAATATACTTTATGAATATTTTTAAGTATCTGAAAATTTGAATGAAAATTAAAATCTGTGCAAGTCAAGATGATGAACATAAATAATTGTAAGGAAAGTGTCTTTACAGTTAACAGCTTTGAAAGTTCTACGTCATCATCGATGAGCACTGGCTTTTCTCGATTATGCGTTAATTGTTGTTCCAATTGCGCCAGAGGACGATCATGTACTTGTTTTTTGATTTCCTGTTCTTGCTGTTGTAACTGAATATTTTCATCCTCTGGCTGTATTGATTGTTGTTTAATGCGTGTTATATCTTGATCTTTGGTTTCATTTCGAACCTTGGTTTCATCTCCCGATTCTAAATGAACATAATTATCAATACCTTTGCGCTTATATGAAGATGACATAATTGCCATCTACATACGTATCTATCTACCTTGTTGTGATTTCGACGCATTTTCATTTTCTTTATCTTGGCTACTATCTGATTTGACCGCAGCAGATGAATTAGATGTTTCGGAATGTTCTTCGTGGTTATTGGTTATTACTTCTTGTGTTGATGATTTCTCGGTATTATTGCTAATTTCCGGCGAAGGAGGAGAAGAGGATGTATTCTTTTGTGATGATATAAAAAATATTTAGACTTATTTATACATATTACAATAAATTTTGAGAATAATTCAACATTTACTTGTTTGGGCATAAATGACGCGTTTATATCACCAATGCCGACAAAGAAGCCATCTGAAATAACAAGGAATGATTTAAGTTTATTGGAATATAAAAAATAAAGCCGTAAAGAATGCAGGCTTACAAGGATTGACTTTGATGACATTCGGCGCCCACTGCCACACATCTGCTCGGTCATCAATCACTACTACCATAGAATCATCACATGGAAATAATCGTCGGATGTTTTTATGTATCATACCTTTTAGGGCAAGAAAAAATTTTGGAATAGAATTAAAAAAAATTCGAATGCCAATCAATAGCGATGATCTCTCTACGATGTATATGATACTTACTTCCACTTTCATCACGAGACAAAATACGTTCACTGAATATATCTTTTTTTGGATCTATTATGTTTGCTACTGCTTCAGCATAATGACGCGTGCCCATCGTATATATGTGAAGTTCATAGAACTCTGAAATCTCTCTTAAGAATTCTTCGAGTCCTGGCCTATTATTTGATCAAAGAAGTTAGCATATAATTGTCCTTTAGGAAGCATACTAAAAAGCTTAAAATATGTATTTACCGCATTTTAATATAAAAAACTGTGGGATTATCTGGCAGTGAGAATGTTTTTATGTCCTAATAATCACAAAAGAAAAATGAATTATAATTCAAAATACCTGAATAAAAAACGCGCTTTATTTTTTTTTTCGTTACGTAATATTTATTACCTTTGTCGCAGCATGATTCGGATTATTTTCATCTTTCATCCATTCTTCAATTGTTGGGTCAACAGTAGCATGAATAATTGTTTGATCCAAGTCAACAACCAGTGAAAGTTTTCTCGCTTTTTTAAGTCGTTCGGCAGTTTCTTGTTCTAACCTTTCTGCCTCCTGATAATTAATTAGTCGTATTCGGAAAAAGAATTAGACGATAATTTCTTGGAAAGTGAGATAAAGCATAAAGTCAACAGCTTACGGATTGGCTAACAAATAATCGTGCTGCGTCATGCGCCATATTTATTGTTGCACGCTGTGTCTGCACCCTATAACGGACAAGTAAGAAGTTAATAAGGGAAAGTGAATTCTGAATTGACAGATAGAGTGACAACTATATTTACCTAGTGCAATCCTGTCCACATAGTGCACAAAGTCCTCCAAATAATATATCATGCGGGCATGGTAATTTTATGATAACAGTAACTTCGCTAAATAATAACAAAGAAAATTGTCAGAATTCCAGCCTAATGCTATTAAATCAATCGAATTAGCGTGATTAAAAAGAATTCATACTTTGCGTCCTTAATTTGTTGATTTGGTTGTACCAGAATTTCAAACACTTCTCCTTCTACAGGACTATTGAAAAATTCACCGTATGTTTGAGCTACCTTTTGTTTCTCAACTATGCTACTGCTTTCGTTCACAACCACCTCTTGCTCTAAGTATCCAATGTATTTATGAAAAAAAAGTGAATCATTCTTTGTGACTATGTCTCCTACTTTTGCAGATATTCGAGTAATAGTTGCTGGCAAGTGATCCTGTGGTAATTTAACTTCGTATGTTTTCGGCTTCTCTTCCATATCCATCGTAATTCTTTGATTGATATTGTTCTTATGTGTTAATGTCCAAGACTTGTTATTTTTGTAGTCCGGAAAGCTTGAAATTTTATTTGTATTTTCACGATTCAAACAAAATGTTTATTAGACTTTCGAGAAAAAATAGTAACTGCGTCCAAGAGTAGTTTTAAGAAATGATAGAGCGAACAAAATGATCAAAATTAATATTTGTGCGTGAGTAGAGTGGCTCAGACCAATCACGATAGCGCAAGCACAGTTTAAATTGTTCCCACGATCATCCCAAAAGATTTTCCTGTTTTTAAGTTTGCTATCGATACACAATGCTAATAAAAAAAATCATCAATGGTCAGAAAATTGCCTCGAAGAGCTCCGATGACCTCCAAGCGAGGTCATGAATATTATAAGGGTATGGGCGTGATAAGATTGATTATTTATTTTTGTTGGAATATACAATAATGATGTTTATGGTTATTAATACATAATAGGCACTGGAACGGGTGCCATGGGATGGCATACTAAACGAGGTATTTCCTCGAATTATTATCACATAGATTATTTGATGATGATGACGAATAATCAAAGATACTAATTTTAATTTTCAGACGGGTATATTATTGATTGGAATAAAGTTCGTACTTATGTGGTTCCTCTCGATTTGGATACTTGTGAGGTATGTATCGATGGATGTGGTTAAATGTCAAAATGTCACATCGTAATTTTCCAGTAAGAGGCTCCTCCCTCCTTTTAAGATAATTTGTCCAGAATGAAAATATATAAACATATGTTTTTAACCTTGAATAAGATCCGCCCAGCTAATAAGAAAACCTTATATAAAAGACCCACACAATTTCTTGCTGGAAAATTACGATAACAGAATTTTTTTGAGTTATGAATTCATTTTCTTTTTGTTTATTCTTAGCTTAAACCTTATGTTTCTCCCAAGACACCAAAGTACAAATACGACATGACCCCAGTGAAATATTACAATCTGATCAATGAAAAATGGAAGCAGAAATTCAATAATCCGAAACGCAAAAGTCCTGCTGTTGTTCAATCGCGTGATGAAACTCCAATTCTTATTGATAACGATAAGGTTGATTAAATTTTTAATTATTAGAAATATCGAAAATTAAGCTGTAGGAAAAATACATTTTTAACTTTAACGTTAAAAAGTCATGAATTCTCGATCACATTTCTATATGGCAAATAAAAAAATCTTGTCCTTATAGAGTCTATATAACTTATTGGGATCAACAAAATTTAACTTTGGAGCAACTCCTGGAATTGACTACTCTTCTCTGTCAATTTGGGCATTTCGATATATGAATATTTTACGCTTTTAAAAGAAGTTTATTAAAGAAAAGAAATAACGCTCGAGTAATTCCCAAAAAACAAGAGTCAGTATCTAGGCTTCTTGTTATATGCTCCGTCAAATTCTTTTATTAGAACCATTAGCTCGTAAAAACGTTATTGTGTGTCATAGTTTTGAAAATGTGTCACCTCTCTTTATTATACGCGTTTTTTTTTAGCTCGTTAACAGGTTTTACATAAATTGTGCATTTTCGTGGAAAGAAATGAGGCAAGCTTAACACCACCATTACTTCAAGAATCCTTCATATGTATAAATAGTGATTAATGGATCGGGCTTTGTCAAATAATTTCTAAGAAGTCACATTCAACCGGTTGCATAAAACGGTATATAAGTGGAATGTTTAATTATGCGATATTCTTGATGAAAATATTCGATTCACGAGTATTTCTCCACGGCTTACTTTAGTATATATACAGATGAAATATCAAGGACAGCCAAAAGTTGGCACTTCGATACGGGCTCGCTTTAGCATAAGAAAAAAGAGATCAAGGTAATATATATATGTCGCGACGTTATATCTATTATTTCGGCAATGACCCAATATTCTAATTATAAAAAGCTCTAAGCTGCCTTTTGCTGCAAAAGTTCAGCCGTAAATAAAATTGTTATACCCAAAAGCAGATTCTATTTTAATCCTTATTCAGGTTGTAATAAACACCCACTAGCGACTCTCTCGCGAAAGCCATCAACATATGCGGCCAAATTTTCGGCATCATCCAAACGCATACCAGAAGATCTGACCGTTGGACCAATCACACGCTCCAACAGTCCTAACGCAAGACGGATCTCGTTGACCTGTTGAATGATTTGTTGGTTGGAGATCTCTAGTGCCTTACATATTTCCAGTTTCGTCTCTGAGTCGGAACGAATCGAGTGAATGCGAGCTCGAAGCGTGTCAATTTCACTAGTGTTCGTTTGACTTAGGTTGGAGAGCTGAAATTGTTTAGCTTCTTTTTCTGGGTGGAGGAATCAATAGAATGTTAACGACGATTCGAAAAGAATAGATCAAAATTAAGAAAGTAATGAATTCTACCGTTATGATAAGTTAAAAATTCTTTGGTGAAAATTGGAACGCTTAACTCGGTATCAGAATTGGGATCTTCTGCTTCTGTTTTTTTGTTTGTGATGATTTAGTATTTTAATACCTTTATATAATCATTGATATATCTCGTGCACTTATTCTCTATACCTGAAGTAATATTACTCGACAGGTCAGAAACATCGTCGAGACTCTCAAGATCCTAACGTGATTTTTAGTTTGAGAACAGCAGAATTGACAATAATAATCAAGCATATGTAATAAACAACTTACGGAAGTACTAATACTTGTTTCTCGGCGATTCTTTTTCTCGGTGCTCGTATCATTTCTATTCGGAGTAGTGACCGAAGGATTGTCATTACCTTCATTCTCATCAGAAGAGGAAAACGAAGTGGAAGAAGATTCGTGATAGTTGACCACTTTGATGCTACGTCCTGTTGTTCGCCTTTGATCGGGATGACTATTCTTCTCTTTGGTGTTTTTGTTGTTGACATTGTTGTTGGGAAGACGTTGAACACGAACAGGACGTTTTTTGATGTTAGCGCGACTGTTTCTTGCTGCGATTGTGGATGATGATGTTATAGAGGAAGATAACGGAGCTGGTGGTGTTGGAGCTACATTTATCCCTAAAGATCTTTTTTTGTACACGAATCATTTTATTTATTGACAATACAGAATTCAATAATCCGATTATAAATATGCGTATTTCACCTATTATTAATAGAACGGGCACGTTGAGCACGCGTCAGAGTCATCCCGTTTTCTCAAATCAAAAAAAAGATACGCAACAAAAAAAGTTCTATTTCAGAATAATTTATCTTTATATAAGTAACAATACAACCTGACATAACATTCATCATCATCATATTTTTCCCTGTGATTGTTGTACGATTGCTGCCTTTGATTTGATGGTTGGCTGCCTGTCATTGTCAGGATCATTATGCGATTGATAATTAAAAATGTCTAAATCGTCTATTGTTAGTAGATATGTTTCCCTTCACTAATTTTTCTCATCATTGTTTCCTCATTAATCATAGTCTGATTCGAGGAGCAATATGCGCGTGTACGTGATATTGCCAAAGGATTTCGCATCACGACCAAGAAACAATCCTTCCTTCTTATACTCGAGATCTACTTGATGGCATGGCACGTGAATAATAATAGATGTAAAGATGCAATCATAACTCGTGGATTCTTTCACGGTTCCATTTTTTTTGAAAGCTTTGGTTCCATACAAGCATGTCTCTTGTTTCAAAGGCGATCGTTGGTCTTCCATGTCTTCAAATAAATGCACGTTTTTATGCTGCTTTGGCATATAACAGCCCGAAAAATGGTAAAGCGACAGATCAGAGAAAAGAAGGGTCGGAAGGTGTAAAAAGGGAAGAGAAACAACCTGAAAGTGTCATTTCTCACGTATCACCTGGTCCGTTACTTTTAATTATATTTTCAATTTAAAAACTCGATGAATTAAATTTTACTTTTGTGAACAAAGGCATAAATAATGCCTCGTCTTGGTTATCACATCCTAGTGTATCAGACCCAACTTTTCAAGTAATATCACCAGGGAGTCTGGGCGCCTTGCTTTTAGTAAAATTACCGCCAAAATCCGAAATCTATGCAGCGTCTGGAACAGCTATCGCCGTATCAAGCAAAGTGTGAAATATTTTAAATGATCGATTGCGTCATCTTTGTTCAATTTCGTGTACCGATGATTATTCATTCGATTTTGACCCATTCACTTAAATATATATAGGTTACTGTCGAACGTACCGTTGACGGAAATTTTGTGATTGCTCTTGGACGGAAGATGGCAGGAGGACAACTCATTTATCACAAGGTAAGGCATTCGAATTGTTAAGTTACTGGAGAAAAGTTTGAATTTTTTTGTTATTTCATGCAAATTATTTTGTGATTGGCACGCAGTTCACGACTGAATCACTTCCAGGAGATATTCTGATAACACCTGGCTCGTTGTCAGATATCGCCGCTATTAGTATGGATGGCAGGTCAGAGTATTATGTGCGAAAAGGAGCTTTTTTAGCAAAAGGACCACGCGTTACGCTAGGAATCAGCGGCGTGAAAGGAATGGCAAGTATTTCATTTTTTTGCGGCGAAATAATTATTTTGGTGATATTAGAACCAGCCTCGGTTTTATAGGGCGCTCTAAGATCTTTTGGTTATCGGGTCACTGGCCGAGGAACATTAGTGATCACAAATTATGGTGCAATTCATCGTCTGATATTGAATGCTGGAGACGAATATTTAGTTAACCCAAAGTATTACTTGAATTTTTTATTTTTTGAGAGATGTTAGATTCTATGCATATAGATCACGACCTGAATTAAAAATTTCGTTATACTAATATCTAGACATTTAATCGCATGGGACGCATTAACTCATCCATCAATATCATTACCATTAATAAAGTCCTCGCCAAGTCGAGGACGAAAAATCATCGAAAACGTTGCTTCAAGAGCCTCGGAAAGAATGCCGACAGTTATAGAAAATTTTCGAAATAGTCCGTCGGTGAAACCAACACTGGAAAAAATGAAACGAATTTCTGTGAGGACAAGGAAATGGATTTATGGAGGGCCGGTATGTTGGCTTTATGGGCTTTATGGACTTTATGGCTATATTGATTAATAATTCGTATTGATTTTTTGTTCTTATTTTTTAGGAACTTTTAAAGCTCACAGGACCTGGCGATTTTTATTTAGCGAGTAGGGTAGAACCTGTCTTTGGAAGCTTCAAAACGTAGATGTTAATTTATTTTTTTATTATATCAATTAAGATTTAATTCGTCTAGGAAAGATTAGGCAATATTCATTCTTCATCTTTATATTATTATTATTTAGATTAACTTCTCCTTCGATAGAAGAAATTGAAGAGACACAAATTCCATTAACACCACCATCAACAACCCCACGTGCACGTCAACCACCAGAACCACCTAGAATGTCGTATGCATTGGTCACAAAGAATGGTCACGTCACATTCACAGATGAATTAGTGACCACGCTATCAAGCACTCCATTGTCGCCACCCTCCCCTGATAAACCATCGATAATTGGGCGAATTGCATCAGGGAGTGGATTATTACAGCTTAGGCGGTGGATCCTTCCCAATCGAATCGCTTTTAAAGATACGAAAAGAGAATGATGGGGATAAGAATAGTAAGGAAAATTGAAAAACTCCTTTTTATAGTGATGTTTTGTAGATACATAAAGATGACATGGAGTATTATTTGATTGTTATTTTTTTCAATAATTTATTTAAATAGCATAAAGAAGACCATAAAAAATAATAGGTAATGATCGTATCTAGTTGTTACACTATCGTGTAGTTTGCATTATGGAACAACTTTTATCGATACCCACTGATTGGTAGTTTCATCAAAAGACCATTTCGTACGTTTATTTGGAGTCGCGTACAACTGTAAATAATCAACCGCGTCCACCTTCATGACAATCAACGCAAAATTCTCCAACGCTTTATTCACCTGCTCTTTTTCAGACTCTGTTTCTCCCACAGCCGACAACTTTTCTAAACAATTCTCCTGTTCTTGTTCATTAATCGGAATTCCTGAGGTTGGACGCGTAAAAGACGCGCGTATTTCATCAGAGATTTTATGCCAGAATCGTATTCTTTCCGTTTCCCAATTAAACGCTGATGTTGGTGGAGTAAAGTGGTGTGTTGCGAGGGTTTTTGATGGGAAAGCTGTGAGGAGTGGGTGTGATGGGTGCGGAAGTATGTATGCGTCACCGGTAAGGCGAACTTGTTCGCCTGTTACGGTGAACCACCTTTATTTTTTTAATATGAATCAGTTTATCGCATAGACTAAATCTTAATAAAATGAATTTGACACGTACCACGCCACTTCAAAACTAGAGTTTTGCGAAAGATGTTTAATCTTCTGAGATCTGATATCTGTCGTTATCACTAACAAGCCACTCTCAATCTGTGGCTCAACAGCCACAACTGGTGTTGGTTCACCATCACTGTTATCATAGTTATGATGGGTACTCTTTTCGCCAGCAAACCCACGAAAAACCACAGTTCTGTTTGCTGGGCGTAGAGTCGCCGAGTTATATGTAGCAAATTGCATGTGAACTACGTATATTTATATCGAATAATATTCCAGTTAGACATTGAAGGATGTTCCTAGAAGATTAGGAATAAGATTACCCGAATTTATGTTTGTTTTCATATTTTCGTTAATGATGTTTTGTAGAATAGGTTTCCATGGTGGTATTTTGCTTCCCATTTTTTTGTATTGAAGCGTTAGAAATAAACAACTTTGTCACGTGTACAGTACTCTGCAACTCCAAAAAATTTTTGAACACAAAGGGCTCATTATATCTTTTATAGAGCTTCTATATTGGTATTGTATGTTCACATCGCAGATACGATCGGTCATTTCACAATACGTACCGATACAATAATCTAATCCTTAACGTTCAGTGATCCGATTTGAGCGAAAACACTACCATTCGATTCGTCTTGACTGGACAAATCGAATACGTAGTATATAGTATTTTCGTTCAAATCAGATCATTGGACATCAAAAAATATTGCATCCTAGAGTAGTCGATTCATTTTTTTAATATCAACAAAAATGAACCGATCACTTTAGGGTGCAATATCTCGACGTCCAGTGATCCAATTCGAACAAAAATGCTACCATTAAATTCGTCTCGACTAGACGAATTAAATGGTAGCATTTTTGTTCGAATTGGATCACTGGACGTCGAGATATTTCATTTTAAAGTGACAGATTCATTGTATTTCGGGTGTGAAAAACCAATCTATAAAAGACTAGATGGTTAGTGTTTGCGTTGTTCTTTGTGTTCAGAAATTTTTCGGGCATTACCGTTACGTATACACCGGAAAGTTATGGGGGGGGTTGCGGAACACTGTATATACACATATATTTAAATGGTCTATAATTGGAGTTATCTCCATTTTTGATTGTTCACTATCTGATGTATTACCATCAAAATTTTTAAGGGAAAATTCTAAATTTACAATATACAGTAGTTTCATGGATTCTATTATTAGGATCAACTTGCAACAAGAACGTGATTTATACACTTGAAATGCTACTTTAAGGCAGAGGATTTTTAGAGATAGAGCGAACAGATTTTATTAGTATCGAGGAAAAAATCGCGGATCAAGGACACTTGAACAGAATTCGTCATTGACTTGAGTATCCGGAAGGAATTAGAACTCTTGCAGGCGTGGTGAATTGCATACAAGGGCTGAGAATGCTGGATTGTCTCGATCCGGCCATTTATTGTCTTTATAGCAAAGAGAAATTATTTGTTGGTTTAAGAAAGAGAGACGTAGAGTGATTAATTTTCAAATCGTCTTTTCTGTCAGCGAGAATTGAGGTATTGCTATGGTTATAAAGTTTATTAGGAAATCTAGTAATTCCAAAAAAGAAATTACTGAAAAATTTGTAGAATAATAATTTAACAAAGGACTCAAAAATTAAAGCTCCTCCAACCACAAATAATTATCGTGTTTCGGATGTTTCGATGCGCTTCGATACCACTTTAACGCTTCGTGCAAATCTTTAAAAGTACCCAACCCAACTCGATAACAACTCGCCATATTAACTTGTGCATTCAACACTCCAGCATTCGCCGCGTATTCATACCATCGAAACGACTTCACTTCATTTTTTTCTATCTTTGTTCCTCGTTGATACGCGTACGCGAGGTTACAAGCTCCACTCGGATTCCCTAAATGTGCCGATTTCTTTGTCCAGTATATCGCTTTCTCATGATCTTGATTGGTGCCAAACGGAATCGAATAGCACCATCCAAGTTGGTTCATGCCAAATGGGTCATTGTAATTCGCGGCGAGTGCGTACCATTGGAAGGATTCCTTTCTGTTTAATTGTGTTCCGATTCCGTAGTGATAAAATATTCCAAGTACGCATGCGAATTTCTTTTGTTGTTGTGATCGCGGTTGGTGGTCATCATTATTTAGAGAAGCTGTGGCTTGATCGACAAGCGCTTCAAAGACATCTGTTTGTGTATAGTTATTTCTTATACACCATTTTTTGATTTCTTCAACTAAATGTTCATCTCGTCCGCCCGGATCAACTACCTTTGAAAAGATTTCACAGAGTTCTCCTAGATTTGTTATTGACATTGTTTGATTTTTGACTTTCTGATTTTTGTTTGATTTTTTTTTTGAGGAAAAGGGATACATATAGGTTTGAATGAAGACGAAAAGTAAATTCCTTTATTGTCATAACATCTTACAGTAACACGAAATGATTGTGTTACATTCATCAAGAAAAATTACCATGAAACGTTCTCCTGATTATAAGGTTGTAATTAAAATTCCTCCTTCAACAATATACGTACGTGCGTACGTAAGAGTATTTTTTAATGCGAAAACCTGTGAATTCTTAATTTTCGACGATGTGAATTTTTGAAATTTGCTACTAAGCTACGTAAATAGCTAACCGTTTTTACATTAAACAGTGCATAACGATAGCGATAAGATTAAAATAATCGTAATCAATTATTTACTACGTAACACTTACGCTAATATTTATTTTACATGTACATGTAGTATAAAATCACGTAATATTTTTCATAATACGTTACTAGTCGAATTTCGATTAAAAATTTAATGTATGCTCTTGAGCAATTTCATGACACTGATACGTAATATTTCAACAAAGCAAAAAAATTGACTTGCACTAGACTTGTTGGTATCAGATTGGCTACGGAATTGTGTGGGTTTGCTCGAGTATAAACGAGGGAGTAATTTATGACGTATTTAATTTTCTATTGTTTATGTGTAGTGAAAAAATTTAAAAATTTTGGGCAACGTACATCCATATGATTTTTTGTCACGTCAATGTGCATAATCCCAATTAGTTTTGCACTCATTTCTTGAACTTTATTTAATTAAAAAAAAATTACCGTTCTACAGTTCTGCTAGTGGTGCCAAATATTCAAGCTACCGAGTTGCCTCTCATTATGGAATAATAATAATGTTAACTGAGAAGTTGCAAAGTATCTGAAACTCAAGAAAAGGAAAGTTTGTTGCAAGGACTAAATACTTTGGGATGGATATAAATCAGTTTAATGACTTGGCACCGTGCATAATAAGACTGGATTTTTTGATCCTTATTACATGTATTTTATCAGGCAAGACGTATGGTTCGGGCGAAACGCTTCTCCCTAATTTGGAAACTCTGTAGATCAGTTTCGCCCGGAACACTATGGTTGGATTAGTGAACAAGTCGCTTTTATTGGACTCAAGTCCAGTTGGTCCAAATGGTGCAGCTTTTATTGGCCCAAATGGTCGATATTACTAATGCTAACACTTCTTCATAACGAAATTAATGACATCACCTCAGAAAGACGGATCACTTTCCAATAGCGGAAATTTCAATTAATCTGTGCATAATTAATTTGTTTTATTGATATCCTTGTTATGGAACGTCAATTATGTTGTTCTATTATTGAGCCACATACATGTACGTATTGCTACACACAACAAATATATATAAGATTAATGGTTTTTTTTTAGTTGCATATAAACAAAATAAATGGACTACAATTTTCTCATGTCTCCAATTCGTTAATATGAATACTACAATATCTGAAAAATTAAATTCCCAGGCTAATAACGATAATGGAGGATCGGAATTATGTGCTGTATGCGCAACCGGTGTTATTAGCAATGGATCTGTCACACTCGCGATATTATGGATTCTGGCGAAAAAGAATGCAAATGGCATCGATACATGTTTGGTCCTGAATTTATTAATCGCGGATTGGTTGCAGAGTATGGGTTTTATTATGAGTTTGTATTGGGTGGCAATAAATGAAATTACGCCTGGTTTGTATTGTAATATTCAAGGGGTGATTATGAGTATTGGAGGGATGGGATCAGGTAAGCTTTATACTTTACGAAATTCTTTGTTTTAGGAGATAAGACAAGCTAAAAAGAATTTTTTGGATATTTTTAGTCTCTTGGGTGACACTGATTACAATATACACGTTTCTAGTAGTAGTCTACTCAAAACAACCAAAAAAATATTACGCAATACTATCAATACCAATAGTTTGGTTGACAGCAATATTTCTGTCACTCACATACCTGCTAGTTCAAAAACCCGAAAAACCTTTTTTCGCAACCGTCGGTGGAAATAGTACTTTTTGCTGGATAGCTGACGAATACGACAGATCTTGGGTTTATATCATTTACATGTCAATCCTGCTGTCGTCAATAGCTCTCATCATTATTTTACATGGCATAATGTTTTGCTTTATATATCGGTATTCGACAAGAGCGATGTTTCGTAGAACAGCTGTGAAGTTGATTCTTTACTCTGTGTGTTATGTCATGCTTACTTTGCCGCTTTGTTCCTGTAAGTTTCGGAAATTGCTCAAGTTGAATAATTCGAGTTTATGCTAATCTATTTTTTTTTTTTTTTTGAAATTTATAGATCTGCTTTCTGGTCATTTTGGATTACCGACCCCTTATCCATTGTAGGCTATTTGTTTTTGTTTGTTTGTGTGGAAAAATTCTCTTGACTAATTTATATAATTCTGATATCGATATATAGACTTATTGTGTGTTCATGCGTCTTCTCACTTAACGGTTTGGTAGATAGCATAATCTATGGTTGTCTAACGTATATTGCATCGCTAAAACCAGTTTTTGAGCATCACAGTAAAAATTTGAAAGATCACAAAAAATACCATTACGATGATGCAGAGAACGATAACGATAACAATAATGTCGATGTCAACAACAGCGATAATGATATCGATGTTGAATCGACAGAAATAAAAAGTCAAATTGAAGAGGATACCTACGAAATTATAGGATGAAACGAATCGCATTTTTTTATTCATTACGAGATATAATTATTTTTTATATATACGTACATACATAATACGTACATGTATACACATAGAAATACATATAAAAATACATATACAGTATTTCATTTTCTCATCTCTATTTGCTATAAACGCAAATTTCATTTTTTTTGCCATAATAAATTCATACTGTATATATGACAATCCCGTAATTTAATATATGGCTTCAGACAGTTTAATCTCATCCAAACAGTCACATGAAATAAAAATTAGAACTTGAACTTTGCACAAGCTCATAAATAGGAACATTGGTGGTAGGTGGTCTATTTTCTGATACATGTATATTATTACCTGATTCTGGAGATCGCGAAGAAGAAGCAAACGGAAAAAAAGTATTCGAGCTGGTGTTGCTGGCATTGTTTATTTCATATACATCCTTGTTTTCGAAAAAAGATTCTTGTGAGTTCGAAACAACTGCTTTTTTCGATTCGCGAGTGCTGTTGTCACTTTTTTTTTTGCCTTTTGACTTGTCTTCTGGGATTGTGTTGTGGTGCTCGATCAATGGTTTGGAGGATGCCACATAAGATATACAGCCATAAATTACACTGTCGGTGAGTCCGTTCGCCGCGAAAAGGCAAGCTGCTACCACGTAACTAATATTTTGGGTATGTCAGATTAATATTTGGGTGAGTTTTATATAACAGCAGCAGAATTTAACGAAAATTCAACTCACAATTCACGTGGAAATCTTTTTTGAAACAATCCATTAGCCGCTAAATCTTTAACAAAATAAGAATTGTAAACGGGACAAATAATTAAACTGAATCAAAAATTCCAGCAAAAAAAAAAAGAGAATAACCTACAAATAGCAAGCGGAGAATACAGCAGCAAACAAACAATAGGATAAAAAAATAATTTTCTTGCAGTCTTATCGTAAATTGTTTTTGTCGAGTATCGATAAGTCATGAAGAATATTCGACTGTAAAGAATAATCGCCATCAATGTTGAAATTGAGAGAAATACTGAATATGGCACGCATACCCAAGTGCCTCTGTACGATTCACTTATCCAACACCAACCCATCCCGTATGATGCGTCGAAGAATGGTTCATTTGCATTTTGTATGATTAGACCCGCCAATGCGAAAAAGAGTGTGAATGGCCAGATTAGAAAAAATGATACTGGTAAGAAATATTTTGGTTGTAACTCATAAACGACCTCAAGAAATGTGTAAATTGATATCGATATAACCCACAATACTACGTATTATTTATTATATTAGAAAAATATTCATTATTAATTATTTTGATTTTGATTGTAGAAAAATTAATACTTGCCTGACGATAATCCTCCGAAACTAAGTATGATTCCTTGAATATCACAGTATAAACCTGTATAGACGTTACCCCATGCCGTCCAATACATGCTCATCATAAAGCTGACACTTTGAATCCAGTCTGCCACCAGTAAATTTAGCACCAAGCGAGTGGGAACTACATGTGAAGTCTTTTTCGCTATCATCCACAAAATGACCATTGTTGTGGCAAAATTACTCAAGATACTTATTGTATATATTAGCCACATTCCCGACTCTTTTGCATCATGTGAAAGGTCACTCATGATTTTATAGTTAAGATAATTGTTTTTCTGCTTTGTTTGCTGAAAATTATGCAAAATCCTGAAATTCTACATATGACGATAATACGTCTTTTGTGAGCTTCCTTTTTCGAAGAAATAGAGGTTTGGGAATTCTACACGTGGATATTGCATATATACTCGATCCGATTAGGCGCATATGAAAGAACTTTGATATCTTATTGTTATCGGAAATATTACAAAAGATTTATAAAGCGCATAACGCTGATGCTAATAACGATGTACAAATTTTTAAATTTTCAGCACTAATTTTTTAAGTTGGTGGTTCATTGAAAAAAGAGGGGTATTGTATTTATATACAGTACGTACATGTATATTGATTAACATGTCAGAAAATTACTTTTTCATAGACATGCATCCCGAAATCTTAACGTTAAAAACGAGTCTATGCATGTTTATTTGCGTTGTGCTTCTTCGGGGCGTCCAAGATCGGATTCGATTTAAGATGTTTCCTTTTTCGTCTCATTTCTGACAAAAAATGCTAATTATCAATTTTTCCTTAAAAGGTTAGAAGAAAAATGTTGGCGTATAAGTGGCCCTTTATTTTAAAGTTACATTGCAAATTTAGCAATTGCTAAATAAACGAACCTCGGTATCAAGTGATACTGAATTTTCGCTTTATAATCAAACAAACAAACAAACAATGAACCATAGATTGCGTATCGAAAAAATTTTTGTAAATATTTCGGAATGATCATGAGAGCAAGTTTTATTTATCTCACACGAGACAATTTTATAAATTCTTGTCAAAAAAGAATTGGTTTCTTTTTTTAGTCAATAAAACTTTAGTTCTAGAAATGGAGCGATTACTAAAGTAGTATCAGTGACAATTCGGATTCGTTTTAGCGGTCAT